GAACTGTGTATGGGTATTAGTATGATTTGAAAAATTAAAAACATACATAGGAGAAAATCGGAAATTCTTTGTGGTTAGGCAATGAAAATAAGATCTCAGATCATGAGCATAAGGTGAAAATATTGCTGGATGCTATTACATCACAATTAAAGAAGCTCGTCCAGCAAAAGCTTTGTTAATGGGGGCTAATAGGCAGTGACTCCTAGTGAAAGATATTTGCAATGTTTAACACTAACAAGGGATTAATTTCTAGAATATGTAAGAAACTCCTACAACTCTATATGGAAAAATCAGAAATGCAGTGGAAAAACTGGCAGATGATATGAATAAATAATTCCCAAAAGAAATCTAATGGTTAACAAGCATGTGAAGAAATGTCCAACTTCATTAGTAAAAAGTGAATAATTTTAAAATTATCACTTTATACTCACCAGATTGTCAAAAATTAAGTAAAGTAACATCAAAGACATGAAGAAGCAGGCAGCTTCACACACAGGTATAAATCCTGTTAGACTGGGTGTCTGATCTTGTGGGGAATGGTGGGGAGTGAATCATCAGGGAAGGGTGGAAAAAGCAATAAGGCAAAATAAAATCAGAACGGGACCTCTACCAAGCTCTGTGATGATATTTCGTGCACTAAAGGTTAACTCGGTTTTGTGCACCTAAGGCTCCTACCCTCAAAATAAAATTTACTTCATGTTTTTTAAAAGATGAAGGAGTGAGTCTACAATTATGACAAAATAATTAGAAGTGCTTAAAAGGAAAAAAAAAACCTTTTTAAAAATTTATTTTTATCCTTTTTTATTTAAATTCAATCAGCGAACATATAATACATAATACATCATTAGTTTCAAATGTAGAGTTCAGTAATTCATCAGCTGTGTATAACACCCAGTGCTCATCACATCACGTGCCTTCATGGGGTTTGTATGAGGTAAAGACTTCTTGTCATTTATCAGTGATAAAATTCTCATTATCAGCAGTGAGGGTTAAGCTTTTACCAGGGATCATAATTGGTTCTACTGTGTTGTCCCAGCTTCTGTTAAAGACCTTTTACCTTCTCCAGTGATAGCTTGAAGTACACAATACAGACAAAATTGGAATAGAAGAGAGCCCTTCTTTCTGTCCATCTTTTTTTTTTTTTTTTAAAGATTTTATTTATTTGACAGAGAGATCACAAGTAGGCAAAGAATCAGGCAGAGAGAGAGGGGGAAGCAGGCTCTCTGCTCAGTAGGGATGCTGAGGCAGATGCGGGGCTCGATCCCAGGACCCTGAGATCACGACCTGAGCTGAAGGCAGCGGCTTAATCCACTGAGCCACCCAGGCGCCCCCTGTCCACCTTTTTTTAAAAAAAAATGATTTTATTTATTTATCTGACAGTGAGTGAGAGAGAGCATGAGCAGTAGTCAGGGAGGAGTACAGGGAGAGGCAGACGCAGACTCCCCACCAAGCAGGGAGCCCAGTGTGGGGCTTAGTCCTGGGATTCCAGGATCACAAACTGAACTGAGGGCAGACGCTTAACCGACTGAGCCACCCAGCACTCTTCTGTCCACCTTTTTGAATATCGAGTTTATAGTTAATTCTCAGTTTACTCCAAATGATCACAAAATCCAAAAACTCTAACCTGGGTCCATGCTTTAGGTTTAATGCCCCCTTCCCTAGATTTTTTTCCTCCTAATTTTCTCCTCTTCAAACTACCCTTTGGATAAGTATTAGAGTTTAAATACTGACCAGGAGGCAGAAGGGGATCTTAGAAAGATCGAAAGGCAAGTAATCTGGACCCTAGGAGTGGATCCATGTATCTCTCTGTTACTGTTCCTCTCTACTCCACCAAAACCAAATAAATACAAAATCCTACAGTGTAATGCCTAGAGGTCAGTGCCATCAGAATCATTATCTTTAATTACGTTGTTTTATACTGTCCTTCTTTGAGATCAGTGAAACATGGACCCCTTACTCTTTGGTAGTATCTCCTACCCCCTCCCACACTTTAATCAGCACCTACCAGTTGATTGGCTGGTTAGTTGAATAGTGCTCTAAGAAAGCATTTTTGTTCCCCAGCATACTCGGTTAAAATTACGACATCCTGAGTAGACCTCTTGGAGGGTAGGTCAGTGTATAATGTGTTTTGTCAGCAATTTCATGGGTATTGTCAAGAATTACTGTTAAGGTTTGTTGTGGCCATAGTTATTAGTACTGATACTCCAGACCTGTGTGTTATCCCTTAGAAGAAAGAAGGAAGTTGCCTCTCTTAAGCCATTGATCAGTTTTCTTGTTATGATAAAAGCTTCCAGAGCAATCAGTAGACTAACTTTGCATTTTGCCATAATTTTGAGCAATTGAAAAAAGTGCTAAAAATTTTACTTTGGATAGTTCCTCAAAGAGCAAAAAAATGAGAGTAAACCTTGGTATACAGGAAAAATACTGAGCAGTATTTTATATGATATTAGCAAACTGGGTACTTGTGTTTTTATTACAGACATGGAGGCCCCTAGTCTTGACCTAACCATGTCTTGTGTAGTTTTCAGGTTTCTTAAGGAACATATTCTGCATGTTTTTAAATGATCAAACTCTGAGAGATGGCAGAATCAGACAGATGTAGGCTTGAATTTTAATTCTACCATTAACTATGTATCCATGAGTAACTGAGTCTCATTTCCTTTACCTGCATGAGGCAATATTACCTGTCTTTACAGGGATATTATGTCCATTAAATGAGATGATGCACGTGGAGCACTGGCACAGTGGCCGCTCGTTGGTCAGGGGTCAGGCCACCCAGGAGCAATTTTACAGTTGGTCTGAGGGCGATCTGTGTTCTAGATGCGGTAGAGTCAGATCCTAGTGCTGCTTCGAAGCTTTTGTGGCATTTAAATAACATATCCCATTTGAGAAGAGAAGAATTTTTTAAAAAATTTTTATATATATTTTTAAAGATTTTCATTTTTATTTGTCAGAGAGAGAGAGGTAATAGAAGGAGAAGCAGACTCCCTGCTGAGCAAGGAGCCCAATGCAGGACTTGATCCCAGGATGCTGGGATCACGACCTGAGCCAAAGGCAAACACTTAACCAACTGAGCCACCCAGGTGTCCCGAATTCTGGTTTTTTTTTGGTTTTGTTTTGTTTTGTTTTTATAAACATATATTTTTATCCCCAGGGGTACAGGTCTGTGAATCGCCAGGTTTACACACTTCACAGCACTTACCATAGCACATACCCTCCCCAATGTCCATAACCCCACCCCCCCTCCCAACCCCCCTCCCCCCATCAACCCTCTTTTTTGTTTTTTTTTTTTAAGATTTTATTTATTTATTTGACAGAGAGAGTGCGAAAGAGGGAACACAAGCAGGGGGAGAGGCAGAGGGAGAAGTAGGCTTCCTGCCAAGAAGGGAGCCCAACGTGGGGATTGATCCCGGGACCCTGGGATCATGACCTGAGCTGAAGGCAGACACTTAATGTGTGAGCCACCCAGGCACCCCCAGAATTTATTTTTAAATTTTAAAGCTTTGAATGGCCCCTTTACTTTGGCTTTTTTTTTTTTTTTTTTTGTAAGACTTTGTGTATTTGAGAGAGAGAGAGAGAAAGCATGAACGGGGGGAGGAAGAGAGGAGGAAGCAGACTCCCCACTGAGCAGAGAGCCCCATGGGGCTCGATCCCAGGATCATGACCTGAGCCGAAGGCACATACATAACCACCTGAGCCACCCAGGCGCCAGAACCCTTTAGGTTTTGTTTGTGTGTTTGTTTTTTTAAGATTTTATTTATTTATTTTAGAGAGAAACTAGTGTAAGGAGGTGTAAAGGGAGAGGAAGAGAATCTCAAGCAGACTTCATGCTGAGTGCGGAGCCTGATGTGGGCCTCAATCTCATGACCTTGGCATTATGAGCTGAGCCAAAATCAAGAGTCACTCAACTGACTGAGCCACCCAGGTGACTCTGATTAGTCCCTTTAGGTTTTTAATATAAGTTGGTCTCAACTAAAATAACTACTACTTCAAACAGTATGTCATCAGAATTCACATATTATTGGAATAGAATAGGGATCTTACTAGTTTAAATCAGTCACACATATAAAATAAATTAGTAGCCAAATTTGTTTTCAAAAGTAAGTAACTATGTTCTGAATGCTCACTCTTCCAGCACTGTTCGAAACGCTTTATGTTCACATATCCATCCAGGTAACTGTTACTGATCCGATTTTATAGAATGAGGAAAGTAAGACAGATAAGTATTTTGTCCCTAGGCTCACACAGCACAGTGAAAGAATGGTTATTACAATTCATGTATTATTAAAGCGTTCTAAGGGTTAATTTGGAGAGGAGAGGATGTTCTGGAGAGCTGCAGTCCACATGGACTTACCACCAGATCGGACAGACAAGACTCAGAGAACTTTAGTGGGTTCGCAACAAGAAGTTCCAGGCTGCTATCTATCTCTAGAATAATGTGCGTGTGTGTTTATCTACTGAAGAATACCACTTGCTTCCAATGGAGGAAACAGATTCATTAAACATGTTCTTTGTTCTTGGTCCCATAGAATAAAATACTTGCTTTATAGCAGGGACAAGAATTTTCAGTTGCTCTTTGTTCTTCCTAAGAAGGTATAAAAGCATATTAAATTTCTGTATTTGTAAAGATATAAATACGTAACATTTCATTTAACTCTTTGGTGAAGAATAATTTGAAGAATTTGTAAAAATCCTGAATCAAAATCTGTGAGCAAAAATAAAAAGCTGCAGTTCATAACTTTTCAAATGGCATTCAAGAACAATTAATTACCATGTCACTTCTTATATTATTTTTAGCATAACCTAGCTCTATATCGCCTAATAAAAATATGCAAAGAGCATAAATTACGGAAAGATGTGAGAAATGAAAATAATTCATTCTACTTCTGTTTAGAAAACATCCTGGTAACTCGAGTGGGGCCCAGAGATTCACAGTACGGAAATCCTTTAACTAATTGATGTTTTTAATAATCGGTGTTTTTTATCCCTTTGTTTTACAGCGCAAGACCCATCAGTTTTTTGTCAAATCTTTCACTACCCCTACCAGATGTCACCAGTGCACCTCTCTGATGGTGGGTTTGATAAGACAGGGCTGTTCCTGTGAAGGTAAGAACAAAATGGCAAGAGAGTGTAATGTTAGAATCCTAGTGTTGGTTCCCTAAACTGTAATCACGTAGCTTTATTCCCCTTAAACAGTATGTAAGTGTCTGCTGGTTCTGCTCTTTCTGGTAACAGGAGTACAGATAATAAAGCAAGCACCTTGCTGCATGTTAACAGGGGAGGAACTAGATGGCCCCTAGAAACATTTTCCAGGGGAGACTTCTGTCATTGTGGCTCATTCATCTTTGTTTCGTTATTTGGGTGAATATGTGGTTCTGGGAAAGCATTAAGCTGAGTGACAGAAGACATAAAAGTTATCCTTGAATCTGTTCATTTAACTTCCACCTTGCTTAATTTCTCTAATAAGAGAAATCATTCTTCAAAAGTAGGCAGTTCAGTATCTTTCCAGAAATTTTAACTGTCTGCCACTTTGCCTCAAAAGGATACTTTATTCCCAATATTTGTATCATTGGATTTTCCTTACCACTTGTTGACTCATTGATTCATCCATCGAGAGTTCATGGAATTCCTGTGCTATACTTCTAGACACTGCAGTGTAGTCGTGGATGGGGAAAAAGACTGAGAGCCTGCCCTCTTGGAGCTCACATTCTGAGAGATGGGAGATCAGGGGTCACTTGAACAGAAAACGAAGTATATTTGTCTGGGCACCACTTTATTTTTCCTAGGACTTCTGAAATGTAAATGACTTAAATAATTATAATGGGGCACACTATTTGGGAATAGTTTATTTTATTTATAGTATATTTATTTATAGTACCTTATTTGGGAATATACTTTTTCTAATCAAATGAAATTTATCACTATAACAATGCCTTGTGTATCATTTACTAATATATCTTATAAGAAAGGTAAAATAGTTGCTAGTTCAAATTCTAATATTAGTTTCCATTTCTTAGCCCTTAGGGTTGGAAGGGACTTTGAGGGGAAGGTCATCAGGCCACATCAGAAGCAGGTGTTCCCCTTGTAGAATGTGCTTGTAGTTAGTCTGTATTTGATCACTTTGAATACTTTGAATTAAGGGGGTGTTAATGGCATCTTAATGCAGTGCATTCTATGTTTGATGAGCTCTCACAGTCAAAGCAAAAGATCCAGATTGCATCATCTCAACTAGTCTTGTAGATGCATGAGTTTAGAGCCAAAGCAATGCTCTTGGGTTGAAAAGTAGATTTGAAAGTTATGAGCATACAAAGTGATGAATGGGAATGGCGTTTTCCTGGAAACACACAGAATGAAAAGAGTGCAGGTGTGAGGACAGAGCCTTAAGAAACAGCTCAGGGAAGGTAAAAGGTAAAGACAATAAAGTAATCTGAAAAAGGAACGGCCTGTGTCATTGACCAAGAAGGTGTGATGGAAACCAAAGGAGAGAATTTGTGCAATTTTTTAGCCTTGTCCCATTTGGGATTTAGCCAGTACTTACAAACGTCATTTTTAGGGGTGCCTTGATGGCTCAGTTGGTTAAGCATCTGACTCTTGGTTTTTGGCTCAGGTCATGTTCTCAGGGTCCTGGGATCAAGCCTTGCAGCAAACTCCACACTCAGTGGAGAGTCTGCTAGAGATTCTCTCTCTTTCTCTCCCTCTGCCCCTCCCCCAGCACTCTGTGTCTCTAAAATAAATAAATCTTTAAAAAAAATAAAATAAAAATACATGTCATTTTAAAATCTGTTTATCAGAAAGAACCCTGGATAGCTAGCTACCTGCCTTTAGGGCCCTTATCATTTCTTATGCATCAGAATCATTTGCAATTACATGGTGGGGGTTTTTGAAGTTTCCCCAAGCCCCCTTCTAAAGTCTCATGTTGTGAAATTGTGCCTGTCTTTCCTGCAGAGCCTTAGAACCCTACCCTATACCCTGTGGGGCCACGGTAGACTCTGCCTGGGCTTCCATAAATATTCTGGTAATGTGGTTACAGCCTCCAAAGATTCCTGTCATGTTCACTTCTTCCTGATGGATTAAAATTAGATCCTGTATAGAACAATTATTTTGTTGCTTCCACTGCTGTTTGTAGGTGAGATTTTTGCCTATTAGTAAAACAGTTTATAACTTGTTAGACACTCTACTTGTGAGCAAGATGTCTTATGGTAGTTTTCACAGTACCACTTCGTCTTGGCCCTCTGGTGGTTTCATAATGCCCATCAGTGGGTGTATGGTACATTTTCCTGTGTGCATGCATTCCCGTGATGGTATCCCTTCAACTCCTCTCTTAATCTTTCCCAAATATTCTCTAGGACCGGCCCTTAGAGTAGGAAGTGTCGAAATGAATATTCTTAGTCTGCAGCCCCTTCCAACAAGCTTAAATATTTTAACTTTTTTTTTAAGATTTTATTTTATGGAAAGAGAGTGGGTGGGGGGAGGGGCAGAGGAAGAGGGACTCTCCAGCAGATTCCACCCTGAGTGCAGAGCCCGTTATGGGATTCAATCCCATGACCCTGAGATCATGACCTGAGCTGAAATCAGGAGTCGGAGGCTTAACTGACTGAGCCACCCTGCAGCCCTACATATTTTGTCACCCAGCCAAGTCTTGGTAAAACTTAGACATTTATTTTTGTTTATCCTGTTTCTTACAGTCTCAAGTTCATCATGTGCATATCAGGTAGAAGTATCATGGCAGTGTGGTTGGTGGCTGGGGGGTTGGGCTCTGACCCCAAATGCTAGGGTTTGAATTCCAGCAATGCCACTTATGAGTCCTGTAACCCAGGGCAAGTCATATATAAATAGTAACTGTAGCTCTCTTAGATTGTTAACAGAAAAATTAAATGCAGTCAATGAGGTTAACCATTGTTATGATCTTGGTCATAGCTGAAGTATCCGTAGTGAAACTAACAACTCCTAAAGTTTATCCTTAATTTGTACGTCTTTAATCATGGAACAGTTTCATTTTCAAAAAGAAGGATTATAAGGTTTGCCAGATATTGCAAAGATGTCGGGTAATTTCGTGTCCATTAGTGACCCTGGCAAGAGAAACTCTCAGGGCAGATACCAAGTTGCAGTGAGAAGAAGCGTTAGAGAGAACTCCAGAAACTACTTTTTGGGATGCCAAGTTTAAATCAACTGTTGTATGCACAAGATTAGATTTTTTTTTCCCTATGTATTTGCTGCTCTTGATTACTAATGTTAATAAAGAATAATAATACTACAATAATAAAAATCTTTACAATTTCTCATTGAAATTCTTATTAGTAAGCAAATGAATCAGCTCCCCAAATGACAAAACAGTTTCTTTAAAACAAAGCCGCAGATAAGCATTCATCTGACATAGCCCCTTGTATGTAATGAGCGCTCAGTATTGTCTTTTTGTAGAAGTGAATTTTTATTGAACATTGTTTTTCCCCCCTCTTCCAAAGTGTGTGGATTCTCATGTCATATAACTTGTGTGAACAAAGCTCCAACTGCTTGTCCAGTCCCGCCTGAGCAAACAAAAGGTCCTCTGGGGATAGATCCACAGAAGGGCATAGGAACAGCATACGAAGGTCATGTCAGGGTAAGTATGATTAGGTTGGGTTTAGATTAATCTTTTAAGGTTAATTAATGACTGAAAATAAAGTCCAGGCGCCTCACAAATAGACTCCTTGACAGAAAATTAGGCAAATAAAATTAGGCAAATAATCTTATTTCATCCAGAGTGATTTGAAAACAAAAACCTGGACTTTGCTTGGAAATAAATTCCAAAATCTCTTATAGTTTTCTGTACTGTCCTTATCTTGTAATGACCAGGTGTTCATATCTCCGTAAAGGAGTCTTTGGCACCTGGTCTTCCTGGGGAGATAGCGTATGCTTATAAAGTGTGAGATCCTATCAGGCTGTTCTCTTACTTGTAATCCTGAATAGCATTTAACGTGTAAGCTGCATTTCATCATACTCCCAAATGTGGCTTTGATGCTACCGAGAAAGAAATCCATGAATGCTATTTTAATGAATTACTAGCGAAACTTAAAAACTTTGTAGAATAAAGAGGCGTACAGTATTTGGAGAATGTGTTCTTACAGTTTCTCACGTCATCAGTGGTCTGTGCGTTCCATCTCTGCTTGACCCCCCAAGAGCGGCAGTTGGGATGCGTGTACGTTGTCTTTAGGTTCCCATCGTTCAGCTACGGAGGTAACGAAGAGGCCATGATTGACATTTCAGTTTGAGTTGTTTCTGTTTCCCCAAAGATCCCAAAGCCGGCTGGAGTGAAGAAAGGGTGGCAAAGAGCACTGGCTGTGGTTTGCGACTTTAAACTGTTCCTGTACGATGTTGCTGAAGGAAAAGCCTCTCAGCCCAGTGTCGTGGTCAGTCAGGTGATTGACATGAGGTGAGCTTTCGAAAGTGAAAATATTTGTACGTTTGTGACATGGGAATAAAAAAGTGTCTAGTTTTTCATCCAGTTACATTGCCATACTTTTATTTAAATCTAATCTCATATTGATAAACTTATGTACTAATATTGCCAGAGTGATGTCATTAAAACCAGGAAGCAAGGTGTCATTATACGACAGGTTGATGTGTGTTGAGTGAGTTGGGGCCCAGGCTCAGGGAAAAGGAGCAAAGTTTGAATCCAAAAGACCACCATGAGATGGCCTGCCTAACGGGGGCCTAATGTGTGGTGTTTAGCTATTACCTGAAGGTGTGGATCCTAATTCCAACATGAGGAAGGGGAGTACAAATCCCAACATCAGATAGGCTCTTAGAGTACATAGTGAGTCGGGAAACACCTGAATGAGTACATCTCCGGAATAGTTCTGGTCTCACTCTGCAGCCTCTTCCCCGCCCCATGGAGTGCTCTCCTTTACCTGTTCTTGTAACTCCTGCACTCCCCTGGGAGAACTCAGGAGCCCCCAGAGCTTCAGCTGCCACCTCTGTGCTGATGACTCCCACACGGGCCTCCCTCCAGCTCTTCCTCCCACGCTCAGAGCAGGAGTTTCCAGCCATGGCACACGATGGCATTTCATACGGCACCTCAGACACGGCCTCTTCCCCACAGATGCGGAATGCAGGGAGGTTGATGCAGGAAACTTTAGCAATGAAAGTCCGACAGAGCCTGCCCAGGGACTCGCTGTAGAAAGATAGAAGAAGCAAAGACAAGACTAAGACATCAAGTCTCCCAGACCAAGAGATTGATGGCACTAAGACTTAGGAAGTCACAAGGAGTAAATTATTGTGGAGGAGTTCTGTTTCAGGTGTTGACAGAATAGTGAAATGTCAGATATGCTACATTGTAGACTCATGAGCTGGGTTGCAGGAGGCAAGAGGGTGCGTTGTTCTGGAGGGTTCAGATCCCTCGTCTGCATGTACTGGTGCTGGCCTTGTGACTGGAGCCAGCAGTCATTGCCAGCTGTTGTGTAATGGCCACTGCTAAGTTATTCCTGAGAGATTACTCTCGGCCCCATCCATTACAATGGCAGGAAAATTATTTTTTTTTAGTTCAGTTTGGATGTTTTGTGCAATGAAGTTTTGAGGATTGCCCCGTGTGTGTTATTTGAAGGTACACCCTGAACACAACACATACACTGACTTCTAATGTTTCATTTTTCCTTCAGGGATGAAGAATTTTCTGTGAGTTCAGTCTTGGCCTCTGATGTTATTCATGCAAGTCGAAAAGATATACCCTGTATATTCAGAGTGAGTGTGTGTGCTGTAATTTGATCACTGAATTAAGTGTTCTTACTGAATATGTATTTTGTCTCTCCATATAGGTCGTAAGCTTACTAGGAAATACCAAATCCTGCATTCCTTAATGTGTCTTATACCGTCCAGTACTGGACTGTGCAGTCAGTTAGTGCTAAGTAAATATTTCATTAGTCAAACACCTGTAGAAAGCATGAATATTTGGCTTCTAAAATAGGATTCATCTTGGGTGTTACTTTCGAGCCACAATTCACTTTCCAAAAAAATATAAGTTGAATAAGTGTGAGGTTTCTCAAGTTTTTGAAGAAGAGGTTTCTTTTTAAAACCTCATTTAGAAAATTGATATTTTATTTCTATTGCTTTGTAACAACTACTCCAAAACTTAGTAGCTGAAACCAGTAATGACTTATTTTTTACCGTTCTCTGGATCAGCTATCCAGTTTGAGTGGGGTCGACTAGGATCACTCCTGTGGCTACATTCGGCTCATTTGAGGCTAGAATATCCGAAATGACCTTGCTCCTGTATCTGGGGCCTTGCTGCCGTCTGGGAGCCAGGCCATCTCCGTGCTCATCTCCACGCTCTCTCTGAAAGTTCTGCATGTGACCTCTCATTCAGTCATCCGGCTGACTTCTATGGGGCTGGTCTGCAAGAAAACCTTTCTTTTAAGGACCTTTCTTTTAAGGACTTTTCTTTTAAGGACCAGGCCAAACCAGGAGCACCTCCTGTGCATCCTGTTGGTCAGAGCAGGTCCTGGGGCCAGCCTGGATGTAAGGGGAGGGGAAATAGACTCCAGAGCTTGAGGAGTAGAGTTCCCTAAGAAGAATTGTTGGTAGGCAACTTTGGAAGCCGTTTGTCTTGCCACAGGGCAATCTTGAATTGGTGAATTAAGACAATAGAGGTTTAAAAAAAAAAAAGACCACCGCCCTAATGTTATGCCCATATGCTAAGTGATTGTCTTTGAATCTTGTATCTGGGAAAGTCACCAACGGAGCCTAAAGAGGCCCACTTGCCTGGAGCTGATTCACGTAGTGGGACTTTGTGGTCACTGCTGTTTAAAGCACTTTTAAGGGGGGGGATCCATACAGTCTGTTCTGATTGTAAGTACTATGTGTATAGTGATAAATTTTCATGTAAATACCAACTCAAATGATCTGATCGTCTCTCAAATAATGTGAGTTATATTATGAAGTAACAGAATGTTATTGCTGACTTTTTAAAGCAAGTTGGAAGTTGGTTTGGTGTAATGCTTCTGAGCATGGACCCCCGATCCCCATCTGGGAGGACATGCTTGGAGACCGTGAGTCTCTGCGCCAGAGTATTTTTGTATGTAAAATCAGGATCTAATAGCAATACCCAACTCGTACTTCGCAACATATTCTGATCACTGCTCAGGTATTGCTCAGTCAATGCCAGCGGCAGTTGATGTGTGAGTATGGATAAGGCATTTCTCAGTGATGGCATCCTGGCACTTGATAGCAAAGAAAATTAAAAAATGGTTACTAACATTTAAAATGGTATCTAGCTAGCCAGCCGGATAGTACCGGTATCTGCTACCTTTGCTTTGTCCTGAATTCTGAGGTGAAAACTAGTTATTCTCCTGATGAGGAGAGCTGACCTCCTGTAAAGATGTCATCTGATGAATGCTCATGTTGTTGGCCAGAGCCTGGTCCGCTGGCATCGGCGTGCTAGTGCAGGGTGTCTGTTTTCTAACACAGGCTGATTGAACTGTCCTAGGTCACGGCTTCCCAGCTCTCAGCGTCTGACAGCAGGTGTTCGGTCCTGATGCTCGCGGAGAGTGAGAGCGAGAGGAACAAGTGGGTGGGCGTGCTCAGCGAGCTGCACAAGATTTTGAAGAAAAACAAATTCAGAGACCGCTCAGTCTATGTTCCCAAGGAGGCTTATGACAGCACTCTGCCCCTCATTAAAACAACCCAGGCGGCTGCCATCATAGGTACGGACTTGCCCATTGACTGTGTTACTCTAGTTACTGACTAACCTACCGTGTGAGCAGAGCTGGCTTACAGCTAGGAAACCCCAGTGTCCAGTGTGTCCCCTGTGTGCTGCTCCGGGTGTGCAGGAAAGGTCCGCTGAATGAGCGAGGCCGCTGAGAATGTGTTTTCGGTAAAGGGGAATTCCCAAGTGCATTTTCTTCTGAAAAAGCCACAGTGCTGAAGATTAACCTATAACAATCTATTTTCTGCTGTGAGACTTAGAACAAGTTGCTTAACTTCTTAAAGCGTAAGTTTCTAGGTAAGATGGGGTTCCAGTTACCTCAAAGAAGTGATGGGGAAGCTTCTGGAAGGCGAGACACATGACACAGGGTGCCCTGCATATCAAATGCCCTCAAAAAATGGCAGTTTATGTGTCTGGAGGTTTAAATTTTTGTCTTCTTATATACCTATCCAACTCTTCTGTTACTTGCTAATAAATAAGGAAAAGCTAATTAGTAGGGTTATGCCTTCCACAATTTTTCCCTCCCAAAACAAGAAACAGAATAGGCCCAGGGTGCTAACAAACTAGGTTTTTAATTTTTTTCACCCTTTATTGAATAAACATTTACTACTTTTTCTAAGTATGGATATACTAATGATTATTCCGCTAAAAAAAGACCTGAGATAACATTTACCACTGTCATCTGAAAGGAGATTTTACAGTACAAATTGTTATTGCAATTTTTAAGTTACTTATTTCAGTTTTTTGTACAAATTTATTATCTGTTTTGTTCTATTAGTTTTTCATAGTTTTACCTATTAACAGTGTTTCGTATTCATGTCTTCCATAGATCATGAAAGGATAGCTCTGGGCAATGAAGAAGGGTTGTTTGTTGTTCACGTGACCAAAGATGGTAAGAGAAAGTTAATTAATGCAGAGTAATGTCCAACCAGATATTGTTGGACAATTCTGGACTCTAGATTCTAAATACTAAAAAGAATAGGATTTGCTCTTCTGTATTCTGTAATTGAAATTTTCCACACCTAATTTGATGTGTTTATGAATCAAAAGATATCCTTTAAAATTCTTCAGTTCTCCTGAGTTCTTAAACTTGCACGTATGTGTTGTGTTTCTTTTGTCGTTTATTTATCAGCTCTCCTGCGCAGACTCAGGTGGCATGCCTAGAGATGGCTGTGAAAGATACAGCTTGATTTGTTCTTGCTTTGTTAGTGTTTGAAGAGGTAGCGGTCCTTAAAATGTGTTCATGTTGGGGGTGTTTTTCCCCCACACTTAATACACAGATTTTTTTTTCCCAGGGAGAAGTAAAATACTGAGTGAAATAAAAAAGAACTAGTTTGCTAGTGTCCTATCTTCAGATCAAGTGAGATCTTGGGAAAACACTGCATTTAAACTGCGTCTGTTTGTTACCCATAGAGGTACCTTCAGGGGCGCCTGGGGGGCATAGTTGGTTCAACCCCCAGCTCTTGGCTTCAGCTCAGGTCATGATCTCCTGATCCTTGGGGATCCTTGGAGGTCCGTGCTCGTGGAGCCTGCTTGAGATTCTCTCTCTCAGCCCCTCCCCACTGCTTGTGCACACACATGTGTGTGCTCGCTCTCTTTCTAAAAAAAAAAAAGAGAGAAAGAAATACCTTTAGTGAAATATGCCTTACTGTTTTTAAAATAGGAGCACCGTGGTAAAGTTCCTGAGAATTTAGTGCCAGTAAAAGGTTTTTTTCCTACAGATGTGGCCTGCTTTATCACACAGGGACACTTTGCCTTGGTTGCCAGAAATCATGGTGCTGAATTTAACACTTCACTTTAGGCATGTGCAGTTACCTTATAATGGGTATAATTATACCTTCCTCTTTCTCTGCACTGATTCAGAGCTCATTCTTCTGGATGTATCTGTGTCTCTATTGTAAGTTGATATATCGTTTTGAGTGTAATTGGGATATGATTAACAAATAAAACATTATTCTGCATTTATTATCATTTCTTTGCATAGAAATTATTAGAGTTGGTGACAATAAGAAGATACATCAGATTGAACTCATTCCAAATGATCAGCTCGTTGCTGTGATCTCAGGACGAAATCGTCACGTGCGACTTTTTCCCATGTCAGCTTTTGACGGACGAGAGACTGATTTTTATAAGCTGGCAGAAACTAAAGGGTGTCAGTCCATAACTTCTGGCAAAGTGTGCCATGGAGCTCTCACATGTCTGTGCGTGGCTATGAAAAGGCAGGTCCTCTGTTACGAACTCTTTCAGAGCAAGACCCGTCACAGAAAATTTAAGGAAATTCAAGTCCCATATAACGTGCAGTGGATGGCGATCTTCAGTGAACAGCTCTGTGTGGGGTTCCAGTCGGGATTCCTCAGATACCCCTTGAACGGGGAAGGAAGTCCGTACAGTATGCTCCATTCAAATGACCACACACTATCATTTATTGCACATCAGCCCATGGATGCCATCTGCGCCGTTGAGATCTCCAGTAAAGAGTATCTGCTGTGTTTTAACAGCATCGGGATATACACCGACTGCCAGGGCCGGAGATCCAGACAGCAGGAGTTGATGTGGCCAGCAAATCCTTCCTCTTGTTGTAAGATTCTCTTATTTTGGCTGTTTGACCTTTTTGTCCCTTTCCTTTTCCTCCATCTCATCTCCTAAATATATTCACTATTAATAACAGATTGTTTTTTAAAGTCACCCTTAAGGTTTTGCCAAAGTGTCAATTAGGTTGTTGATCTAAAGTGACTCTCTGTACTTAGACCTCGGCCGGCAGGCTCGACATTACCTTGTACCTAGTTGAAGCTAATCTTTCTATGGCATATTTTACTTAGGTGGATTTTCAACCCATGTTGTATTTTGAAGTAACTCTGAACAGTTATCTTCATGGTCCCCCAAAATACAGCACTTGTGAGCGTTAACAGCTCGTGACACTCGCACTGGAGAAGTTGTTACTAAGTGAATTATTTAATCGGTTATGTAAAGGTGTAACGCAGCATCTGTAAGAAGTGTTTCTCTGTTTTTTATTTTTATCTAACTAGATAGAGACTTGAGATTGCCTGTTGCTCTCTTTCGAGAAATACTAAGACATTAGTAAATTATCAGATACTCATGGCATGCCATCGCTGCGGACAGGATAGAGCACCCAGCACGGGAGGCCGTTTCCCCTACTGACGCAGAGTGGGAACCAGGAAAGATTCATGACAAGTGCAAAGTTGCAGTGAATTCTTGGTTCTCTGTAGCAGAAGTACGGAGCTCTGGACAGGCCTGTGGGAGGAGTATCTGAGCCCACATGCTTTGTTTTTAGTGGAAGATACTTGAAAATGCTCGAATGCTGAACTGGGGAACTAGGGAGAGGTTGCCGGTACAGTAAATACAGGAGGCCAGAGAGGATGGAATTCAGAACCCCGGGGAAGGATTTGGGGCCGGAAGTATGAAATCTCTTCCACTGGAACCAGGTAGGAGGAGTGATGGGCAGGATATAGTTGAGTGTAAATATTCAGTGAAGAAAAGTTAGGAAGGCCATACATGCTTATTACTGAAGAGTTAAAAAATCTAAATTTAAAAAAAGAAAGAAAAATATTTGTAATCTACCCACCCAGACCTAATTATTCTTAAAGTTTTGTGTCTTCTAAAATACATATTCCTATCTGTGGTGTCATATGTGGAATAAAGGCTGTTTGGTAACCTGGTCAGGTAATAATTCGAAGTATTACTTCTAATGTGGAGTCAGAATCAGGATATCTGGCTCTTAGGAATAGCTCGACCGGGGATATAATACAGGACATCAGCTTAAGTTAATCATCTCATCTCTCCTTGCTCGTGTCACCATCTGTCACTGTTCATTCTTCCAGTTAGCAGTTCTGAGCATTCGCCCCACTCACATACCTGTGTCAGGTGCGTGATCCTATGATCCTGCGTTCATAGATGCGATGGCAAGTCTCACCTAAAGATTGCTTTATAAGTCATTGTGCTGTCAGTAGCTTAACTGGTTTAGGAATCAAATCTTATAAAAAATCGTAATGGCATCCCTTGATAGAACTCGTTTATTGGAGAAGGCAATATTCTGCCATCTGTATTAGCAGAATCTTTCTGTATTAAAGTGACCGTCTGACCCGACCCACAGCATGTCAGCTGCTCATTTATGACTGACTTCTACTCAGAAATGTTTTGATGTGCCTACTAAATGAACAGAGTAGGATTTGGGTGGGATTCCACTCTACGTTATTTAGTGTAGATCTTTCAAAATGTTTGGGGTTTACGAGTTAGAAGTAATTAGCCACTATTCCCCCTTCCCTTTTCGCAGGTTACAACGCGCCATATCTCTCAGTGTATAGTGAAAACGCAGTTGATATCTTCGATGTGAACTCCATGGAGTGGATTCAGACTCTCCCACTCAAAAAGGTAATTTCACATGAAAATATGGGCTGAGTGCACTACTGAGTGTAGTGAAACACTAACGTGACTAGTTAGCTGTTTTTCACTCTGAGCATTTTCGGGCAGTAGGTAATTCAGGATTTAGCTAAGAGGAGAAACACTAGGAACAAAAGTCAAGCTTTTTCAATACCATACTCTTTTTATCCATTTAGTTTCACTGGATCAATAGGAGTATTGTCTTAACGAGTGACTAGAATCTACCCCCAGCCTAAAATGCCAGTGTCACCTTCTACCTCAGGAATTCTGAGGGAGAACGCTGTCACTCTTTCTTATAACTGCTTTTCACATAATGGGATGCAGGCTTGAATCCTGAAGGCAAAGAAGGCAGGGGTTCAACTTTATAAGATAGTGTCATTATTTTCCAGAGTCGTCGTACTGATTCATATTCCCCCCGGCAGGACAGAAGATTTCTTGCAGATCCACATCTTCTCTGACCTTGCCATTCTCAGAATTCATAGTCTTATAACCATTATCAGTGGTTGTAAAAGCTATCTCATCGAAGCCTTAATTTGCATGTCCCTAATCTTTCTATGTTTATTCATTCTTATTTCTTTTTCTGTGAAACCCTAGCTATGCTTTTTGCTTATTTTTGTTTGGCTTCTTTTTTTAATTAATTTATTGAAATTCTTTATGTATTGTAAATATTGAGTTAGTAAATGTGGGTTAAATCTTCATTTGTGACCTATCCATTTTGATTAAGTATTTTGTTCAACATTTACTTTAGTAACAATAAATTATATTATTTTTCTGAAAACACTGTTATAAATTTTTTTTTAGATTTTATTTAAATTTAAGTTAGTTAACATATATAGTGTATTACTAGTTTCAGGGGTTATTGTTACAAATTTTCATGTCGGTATATATAGCATTCTTATCCTTTAAGCTTATCTTTTTTTCTGTTAGGAAACTTTTGTAACTCAGGGTCTTAAAGATAGGACCTTTATTCCAAAAGTTTGAAGGATGTGACTGTTACATTTATGTCCTTACTCCCTGTAGAGTTGGTGTTTGATGTGTGGTGTGAGGTAGGGGCTCTATTCATCTGTTCTGTGTACGTGAGCAGTTGCTCTGTCACCATTAACTGACAGCCCCCCCATCCCCAGTGATACAGTTACACTCTGATACTCTGTCATATATGGACATATAATTCTAATATATATTATGTATCATATATATATAATATAATTCTAATCCCATTCCTAAAGTAGCTACAATGATATCTTCTTAGTATAAAGATTTAGTCACTAATGGATTTAATTAAGATTTAAATGCATTTCTGCTATTTTTCCCCCCCAGAATATTCTTCCTTTAAAATGTAGTCATTATAACTTTCTGGTTCAAATTAGATAATTTTATACCTATTTCCCATCAGAATTAATGTTAATTTTTTGTTGATTTTCTGAGAGAGCTGTATTTTGAAGAGGAAGGATAGATGGAAGGTCTCGATAGTGTGTGCTTTCTAAATAGGCCAGGAGTTTTATGATTTCATTTGAAAGTTTTATTGAAGTACTAATTTTATTTTTTTATTATTTTAGGTTCGACCCTTAAACAGTGAAGGATCATTAAACCTTTTAGGGTTGGAGACAATTCGATTAATATATTTCAAAAATAAGATGGCAGGTAAGAAAATATACACTAATGGTTAGCTTCAGTGGAAATGTTCGAAGCTGACTGCCTGAAGATAACAAGTGGCAGAGACCAGATTTAAACTCGGGTTTATCTGACTCCAAAGTCTGTGATCTTGGCCACAGTCATACTCTCCTCAGTCTATTGAGATAAATGTCTGCCTAAAAAGGCATTCTGTTTAATCTTGCATAGCTGTCTACACAAAATACTGGTTTCTGATCTACCTTGTTATTTTTCTGTGGAGGACTGAATTAAGTGGCGTAAGGATAGCTGTAGTTGTCTTCTGTATTATTGATATTATAAAACCCAACCCAGGTTTGTGGCACTGACATTGTGAGACCTCATCCAGAGCTCTGACTGGGGACTTCGGGCAAACATCCACTGACACATAGGGCTCCGAACTTCAGAAGTATTCGTGTCAGCGTGGGCAGGGAGGGCAGAGAGGAGGGTCCCAGGAGCACCAGAATCAGGAGCGGGGAGTGGGATCCCCAGGATGGGAGGTCTGGAGAGGACAAGGGCGGTGTCCACAGTCGCTGCTGGCCTTCCCATTTGATGTCCGGCATCTGGAGGTGTTCTGCTGTCTTAGCGCTCTGGAGGTTTCTGGGTTGACAGACTGCTGGCTGTAAGAGAGGTCTTCCGAAGGGAGAGTCAGAATTTAGAAACGATTCCCACTAAGTGGTGGATCCACCATGAATCTAGTGACACTGGAGCCTAACACCTCTCACCACCAAGGGCCTGTACTTCGTTTGGTGTCCGTCTCTTAGAGGAAGTCCAAGTTTTGGTGGAGGATCAGCTGCACCCTATTCTCACTGTGTGTGGCTGTGATGATCATACAGTATGTCCATGTCCCAGGTCGTGCCCGCAGGATGAAGCCTCTTTCCACGCATTCCCCACGCTCTCATCTTTCTGCTCTGAGCTGGCGGTGGGGGCGGAGCCTAGCGAGGGAGGACCGGACAGAATTTCAGCATAGGTGTCTTGTCCTTGGGAAAAGGAACAGACCCCATTCCCCAGAGGCCCTTTCTTTTTCTCTGTATTGCTCTGTCCTTCATCTCTCAGGGGCTCAAAGTGTTACTGCAGCCTTCTGGGCCTCCCACATTGCCCACTCCACCGTAACTCACCCAAACCTGCTCTGCCCTCATGATTCACAAATTCCAAAACTGTGTTTCAGCTGGAGTGAAGAAAGCTAGCTGACGAAGCTACATTATTCCGATCCAAGAAGAACATTGCTTTTCTGCTTATCAACTGCCCTGGCTTGCCTTGCAGGCTTCCGCCTGTCTCCCTTTTTCTCACTTCAGCTTTGTGGCTGTTAAAAATTCTGAAGATTGGCTTTTCTCCTGTTCCTTATTTAGAGAATGGCATCCATCATGTTGTGTGACTGCAGCTGTCTATTTTATTCCTAGAGTGTGTGCACATATTTCAGCAGGTCTGCGGAGTCTTTGGCGGATGGTTTTGTTTACTTCTAGGTGTTAAAATTGAAACCGGATGCATATGAATAAGGATCGTCTCCTCCCCAAGATCGGAAGAGTAGAAATAGCAAGAGTCTCACCTTTAGCAGAGGAACCTGGTGGGAGCTGGAGCTTTTGTCCTTAGTCCACATCTGGCAGAGTGGGTCTTGCAAAGGAAGTGTTTCATCATGTCAAAATACTTTTAGTTGTCCTTTACAAGAATAATTTACCCATTACACCTGATGCCACATAGCTTCACGGAGGAGCATGGAACCAGTGCCTAGAAGGCGAGAAAAGACAGTGCAGAGAGATTGCGGTGGGGAGGGGGAGGGGGAGGGTTGCGGGGGGGGGGGGGGGGCAAAGCAACAGGACCCCCAGGCAACTGCATTTTTCTTGTCTTCCACTAAAATTATGCCATTTTGTGTTTACAAATGAATCAACGTGAAACTGTACTTAGTAAGAAATATTTAACTTTTGTGTATACCTGTTTACATATGTCTTGGTTTAAATTATTATTTGCTGTATCAACACACCACGTGTAAAAATGAGAATTGCATAGGTTGCACAACTGAATGTGTACCGTCTTAGAGATGAACAGATAAGAAGCATTTTCGCACCTTAAAGAGCATTGCCATTCTTGGTGTTTTTTCTCACAGAAGGGGATGAACTGGTGGTTCCGGAAACGTCGGACAACAGTCGGAAGCAGATGGTTAGAAACATCAACAACAAGCGGCGCTTCTCCTTCAGGGTACCAGAGGAGGAGAGGATGCAGCAGAGGAGGTGTGCGCGCGGCCAGGGCTGCCGGTCCGGGTGGGCTCCGCGGTGGTGATGCCGGTATTGGACTTGGAGGGCAGATTTGAGCTCTGAAAATCTGTCACCCATCTGTGGTGTCGATCATGAATGTACTCCTCAGTGTAATTTTTAATAAGTACTCCCCCAAGTGTGAGTACGGACTGGATTAAAGTACCATATTGTGATTCATTGCTCTGTGTCTATGAAGTACTTACAGTTCTTAGACTGTGGGCCTTTGTGTAATCATATATAGAGCACACGGCTGCGTGTGGTACATCTGTTCCTTCGGGTTAACTCTATTCATGAGCAAACAGCCCAAAGGCTTGTAGTATTTCCAGACCCATAGAAAAACATCGCCAAAGTGTTATCAGTTATTTTAAAAGACATACATAAAATGGTCAGAACTGTCTGTAAAATACAGCTTTGATATGTAAGTGCTAAGAGAAGCCTATTTTCCCACCAAAACACTCAAGCTCTTTTATTTAAAACAAGTTTCTAAGTCAAGTTTTAATGGAGTATATTCTGTCCTTATTAAACATGATTTCACAGTTTTATTTTTGTGAATAAAGAATGCTTAACTTTTTTCTGAAGTTATCTAGAGTGATCACAGAAAAAATGTCTAAACAGGTGTTTTATCTTACAGAGAGATGCTACGAGATCCAGAAATGAGAAATAAATTAATTTCTAACCCAACTAATTTTAACCACATAGCACACATGGGCCCAGGAGATGGGATACAGATCCTAAAAGACCTGCCTATGGTAAGAGAAATGAAGAGGGAATGAGAACAGGGTTACAAGGGGGGCAGAGGAGAAAGCGTACATGCGTGCCTAAATCTGTACATAGATTTAAGAGGAATCGTTAGTATGATGATGTTTGTGTCCATACATCACAATATGTGTAAGATGCTTGATGATATATACCTGATGAGAAAAACATAACATTTGGGCATCAGTGAGAAACCAAACAGTTCCAGTTCTTAATTACACACCCCACAAACTTGTCCAGACTTACTGTTGGTGGTGGAATACACTGCCGGATTTGGAGAGCATCTGTACCAAGACTCAGAACTTGCTCGTGACATCACTAACATTTCACTACGTTTTAGCAATTCGCTACAGATATTTGGCCTCCGCCCGCCCCCACCAAGAGAACCATGTTAGGTGGGTCATTAATGGCCACACCTCTTACCTGGTTGGCCAAGCAAATCTTTTTCCTCTCCCCGGTTATAAACATGTTGCCTGGTCTGTCTTACACACAAAAGTACAACATATGAAAAAACTTGTTTTTCATATGAAGACTGGATTCTTGGACCCATTATGTTGAGATGAAGAATATTAGTGGAATTGGCTAATTTTCCAGGCTCCATTTACCCTTAACATGTCAGTATCACAATAACTCAGCAAATTATTGAGACTTTAATAGGAGCCTTTTGATCATGGGTGGTAGCGTTATATTTGTGAATGTGGACCCGGAGCTTTTTCTTTTTCTTTCTTTCTTTTTTTTTTTTTTTTTTTTTTTTTTTTTTTTTTTTTTTTTTTTAGAAAAAAAAAAAATTTATGTATTTATTTTTATTTTATTTTTTTACTTTATTCCTGTGGAGTTTTCTTTCATTTTATTTTTATTTTTATTAACATATAATGTATTATTTGCTTCAGGGGTATAGGTCTGTGAACCATCAGTCTTAAACAATTCACAGCACTCACCATAGCACATACCCTCCCTGATGTCCATAACCCAACCACCCTATCCCTCTCCTCCCACTCCCCTCCAGCAAACCTCAGTTTGTTTCCTGAGGTTAGGGGTCTCTTACGGTTTGTCTCCCTCCTGGATCCCATCTTGTTTCATTTTTCCCTCCCTTCCCCTATGACTCTCCTCAAATTCCTCATATCAGAGAGATCATATGATAATTATATTTCTCTGATTGACTTTTTTCGCTTAGCATAATCCCCTCTAGTTCCATCCACCTCATTGCAAATGCAAGATTTCAGGTTTTTTTATGGCTTTTTCTAAGGGAGTCTGTCCTCTAACCACATTACCAGCTCTGCTGTTGTAGGAGATTCAAGGATCTATCACTGACAGAAAAAAAAGCCAGGTGATATAGTTTTATGTGCAATCAAGTTTTTTAAAATAATAAAGTTAAGCTTTTGAAGGTAGTCCTGCATTTGTTTCACGAAAGAAACAAAAAAATCAGTCATTGAGTCTGAGTTCCTCATTGGAAATACCCCGATTAACCAGTCGACCCTGTTCTTGAACCAATACAATGCTCTTACTGTTACCACCAAGGCGTTATGTTGACCTGGTTATAGGTCCTCCTTTAGGAAGTGAACAGTAGCCATTTATCCTTGGAATGGGGATTGCTATTAGCTGTGCTGGATAAGTTATGAATAAAGTGTTCAAAAAAGTTACATGTAATAAAACTAAGGAAAAAATCGAAGACTAAATATATTAAATATTAAGCTGTTACATTTACCTATCATATTAAAACTTAGGGGTTTTCACCTTTTTGCCTAGGAATGAGATTTCAGATTTCTGTCCACTGTTTTCCCATTCTGAGCATGTGTTTAAAGTTCTTAGGCTGGTTTTCCTTTATTCTCAAGTAAATGTGACATAACCATACAGTCAAAAGCCTTTCTCATTTTAAAGAGAATTTTTACACTTTGGTTAATGTTGGAAATGTGTATTATGTTATAGCTTATACTTGATAGCTCAAGTGCTAAAGTACCATTTTAATGAAAGTTTTAAAGATTTTGGAGGGATAGAGGGAGACAAATTTCAAAACAGGCATATGTTGCAAAGCAATTTATCAACAAATATAAAATTATTTCAGTGGTTAACAAGGTTTTGATAGATATTATACTTTTTATTTATTTATTTTAAGGTTTTATTTATTTATTTGACAGAGACACAGCGAGAGAGTGAACACAAGCAGAGGGACTAGGAGAGGAAGAAGTAGGCTTCCCGCTGAGCAGGGAGCCCAAGGTGGGGCTTGATCCCAGGATCCTGGGATCATGACCTGAGCCAAAGGTGGATGCTTAATGACTGAGCCACCCAGGTGCCCCTGTATTACACTTTTTTGATTAAAATTTCTTTGACTTGTGCTTCATTTTGGTGCACAAAAAAAGAATATAAGTAGTTTTATCTTATATATTCCCACAACATAAAAATTACAGGGGCGCCTGGGTGGCTCTGTGGGTTAAAGCCTCTGCCTTCGGCTCAGGTCATGATCCCAGGGTCCTGGATTCGAGGCCTGCATTGGGCTCTCTGCTCGGCGGGAGCCTGCTTCCCCCCTCTCTCTCTGCCTGACTCTCTGCCTGCTTGTGAACTCTGTCAAATAAATGAATAAAATCTTAAAAAAAAAAATATAAGAATTACAGAAAATTTTTCTATACATTCTATTATCTCCCAGAAATTACAGTATTCCCTTAAGGTGAAATACTTCAGGGTTTCATAAAATACTCCTCTGCTGAGTAGCCTTCTGCCATCAGGTGAAAAACCAATTTGCTAATGTTCCAGAATTTTTTCAGACCTTCACACACATAAGATTTGGTCACCACACACCCTGATGAATGAGTAGAGTGAAAAGAAATGTCAGATTTCAAACATTGTAAGAACTTTTCTATCAGAGCCTCCCTCACTCCACTTTTTCTTCCTTTACCCTTCTACCACTTAAAGTAAAAGAAGTCTTTTATTTATTTATTTTTGTTAACAATAATGTCTAGTCTTTTTTTTTTTTAAAGATTTTATTTATTTATTTGACAGAGAGAGATCACAAGTAGACAGAGAGGCAGGCAGAGAGAGAGAGAGGGAAGCAGGCTCCCTGGTGAGCAGAGAGCCCGATGCGGAACTCGATCCCAGGACCCTGAGATCATGACCTGAGCCGAAGGCAGCGGCTTAACCCACTGAGCCACCCAGGCGCCCCACAATAATGTCTAGTCTTAATTACTGAGCTGAACAAGCTCAGACAGTGTTTCCTGAAGGTTCTTCCCGCAGCTGACTGCATGACACGTGGCCTTCTGTGCAACCACTTGTCCCATTAGATCCCTTGGTTTTTAGCATTTCTTGTCCCCAAGAAATGCTAACCCATGACTGCCTTGTTGGCTCCTTCCGTCATTGACACACGTGCCCCTCTGCCCTAAAATGCAGTCCAGTTTTTAATGTTTCTTCCAGGCCTTTCTTACCTTGTAAGCACATTTGTATTTCCAGGACGAGAAGTTGGTGTACCTTTTGAAACCTGTTTCTTCGCCTTAATTTTAGTTTCACTGGCCTTCTTCCCTTTACTAGAAAGGGACGTACAAGCCAGGGCTGTTTATGGGAACCCACTTCACCACCCAACCAGTATTTTTGATACACTGTCCACCCTGACCCGTGCTTGCCTTGGGGTAGACACTGGTAAACAACACATTGGTATGCACGTCTGAAGAACAGTAGTGATATGCATGTGTGTACCTGTGTGTATATATGCTTACTGAAAAGCTTGTGATATTTTAATATGGTCCCAGGTTTTGATATGTCCTTTCTGCTGAAGTGAAATTATCTGTTCTTTAATGAACAATTTTCAAAAATTAAGATGAATTAAATTCATCTATCGTTAACATGTCAGAAGGGCTGTCAGACCCCAGAGCTCCACGTTACCATCCGTGCGAGGAGCAGCACGTACCTCAGACATTGTTATGTTTTAACTCATATCAGTACTGCTTTCCTGGGACATACTTACGAGCTTAGAGAGTTTATTGAGTATCTTCGGAAGTTCTTCTGGGTACCAAAATGATACTGATAGAGGATTGTTTGCCTCATGAATGTGCAAAAGATCATCAGGCTGAGGGAGTCTGGGTCCAACAGGAGCCCTTTACACACGTGGTGTGCAGGACTTAGAAGGACATACTGCGTTAGCTTCTTGAATCCTGCTTGTCGTTTGCTTTTTTTCCATAGTGGGGGCTAGCAACAAAGGGCAGATTTTTCTCCCACTGAATACAAGAAAAATAGTTTACCTCCAGAAGATTTGGTTTTGGCCCATGACCTTTCTCCTAGCCTTTTGTCCATCCCTAGAGTTGTTCATGAAGACCAGGTTTCTAGCTCAGTGACCCCTTAGAGCTCCACGAAGTAATACTGCTTCTTCAAGTCAAAGTTACATTGACATCAGTGAGTTTTTTTCTTTTTGGAAATAACCTTGGAAAGCACTGGTTCACTCACATCTCTAAACCATATGTTATAGAAGAGATTTTGTTTAAGTCTCCATAAGTTACCAGATTTTGTTAAGCAAAGCTGGCTCATCCCAGCTCAGGAGGGCGTACGTTCTGCCAGCTTTCTCCCTGCAAGTCCTTCCCTCCCACCCCTGAACCCTGCAGCTGCTCTCCAGACCTAAACCATGAAAATGCCCCTCAGAGACAGGCTGGGTGCTGAGTAATCTGGGCTCCCAGATTACTGGGCTCCCAGTCATCGTACCTGAAAAACTAGAGCTCTCCATTTGAAATGCTTTGTTGGGATCTTTAGAATTACGTTATTTTGTTTTAGTACCCCCAGACATGGAAGGGAAGATTTTTCCCCTTGTTAAAAACGAACGTGTCCTTTTGGGTGTCTACGTGGAGACAGGTTTGGGCTGCTGAGAGTCATGTCAGTAATCAGGGTCATCCTCAGTCCCACTCTGCTCCTGTCAGAAATAAGAGCAGTAAAAACACACACTGGAGTCTGTACGTCCCAGGAAACGGTTTCCGGTTTCCACAGAAACAGCTTCTTGGCACTTCTTGCGAGAGGCTGGTTGTGGGATCGCTGCTCTTTTACTTTCTTGCTTTGTTGGTATGTTTTTGCCATGTTTTGATTTTATCACACAAGAAAATTCTGAACTAAACTCTGAAAGTCTCCTTGCAGCTCCGGAAGTCCACTTTCTGCTTCCCTGATGCAAGTAATAATAATAATATTAATAATAATAATTTTATAAAGCAAATGATCTTTTGCACATCAGCTCTTTCGGTTACTGTCAGGAGGAGTACAAAATTTAACTCTCTAAGGCCTGAAAGTATTTCATGAAGGATTCAGTCCTGATGTGAGACGTGTCGTTTCTGCTGCATGCATGCTGTGAAATGTCACCTGTGACCAGTGACTCCATTCTCATGACCTCACGACTTCTGTTCTTTCTGTCGTTTTGTTAGCCAGGCTTCCCTTATCCATCCCCTCATCATCACTCCGGCCTGATCTCCTCTCCGATCAACTTTGAGCACATCTATCACATGACTGTTAATTCCGCTGAAAAATTTCTCTCTCCTGATTCCATAAACCCTGAGTATTCCCCGTCTCTGCGCTCTGTCCCTGGTACACCAAGCTTTATGACTCTGAGGGTATGAACAGCCGAGTCAGGGGTTAACTTCACTAACTGTGTGCGGACCTCTGTAGCTGGCTTGATAAGTAACTCTGCTGGGGGTGGGGGACATTTTCTGAGCGTGAGTGTGGGCCTTCAGCCTGCTTCTCTTCTGCCAAATCTCGTTCTTCCTCCTCCTCCTCTTCAAGTTCAGGTTTGTTTCCTCTTTTGAGGAAAAACACGAAGACAGGAGGATTTCACTCTTAGTTTTTAGACAGTGAAGGAGGTATTTTTATGTTTCACGGACGATTTTTCCATCATGATTTTCCCTTTCCGGATACCATCACTAAATATAGCCCCTGCGTGGGTCTTTATTCTGTTTAAACAAAAAAGGAATCCCAGAATTTTCCCATTTTTTAATAGTTCATTAGCCTAGAACTGGTTTAATTCAGAGAAAATATTTTTGCATTTAGTGGCATTCAAGTCTGTGGTAGGGCCTAGCCACAGGCCTTCTTTCCACAATAAACCCCTTTTGAAAAGCTTAAAAATCTCCCAGGTAAAAATTATAATAGTATTAAGGAGTCAAAGGAAAAATTAGAAAAAGATGATAATCTCACTAGTTTTTGAGGTGCTAATAGGCCTTTAATTCCAGCCAGAATCCAAGATATAACAACTAAATCAGAGAGAGAACTAACACAAAGGGGCTGCACTGGGAAGGACGGTGGCTAGAGAGCTGATGGCCATTAGCAGATTGTCCATACTTCCATCAAGAAAAACATGCTCAGCTAACTCCTCAGGAACGTTTTCTCAAGTGCATTTTGCAAATAATATACTTGGATTCTGTACTGCAAACCCGGGTCCCGCAGGACCCTCTGACCAGCTTTTTATTTGCATAGAAAACTGTAGGCTAAGAAGTTTATTTTTGTATTTTTATTTGTCTTAGAAAAATACCCTAAATTTTAAATGTTTGAAATGGCATTGCCATGAAACTATAATGTCATTGAAATGTCTTATTTGACACAATAAGATTAACGATAAAAATAAAGCTTAGTTTGCTTGATTACAGATGGCAGGGAGTGGTTCCAGAGGAATGTTGTAGAAATTAATTGGTCAGGAGTTTTTCCGGTGAAAGATGGCAGAGATGTTCTGTAAGTCAGTCCTCTGCTAGTTAGAAACACTGTCGTCTTTAAGTTTTCCCCTAATTCAAAGCATATTGGCACATGGAAGACACCAGCAGCGCTGGTTTCCTGTCACTTTATGGAAGTTGAACTCCAGCTGAATGAATGGTAAACCATCTTTTGTGGGGGTTTTTTCTCACATAACTTGTCTTCTGTGAGTCGGTCTTTCATTGCTTCAGCATACGGAGTTACTAAACCACTGGTATATTTTTACAGGCCCAATTTATGCCGTTTGTTCTAGGCTAGGACGCCACCAAGGTGTCGTAAGGGTTACGGCAGAAACTGTACAAGTTTAAAGGGTGAAACTGACCTTCCCATCTCTGTTGATGTCTGCTCTGCTGCGCTGTGTGCGTGTCTCTGGGGTCTCAGAGGTTGCTTCTCTGTGCGTGAGTGAATGTTAGAATGCGGGCACCGTTTCAGTTTTGTTTTATTTTCTTGGAGGAAAAATAACACACCAAGAATTAAATGGACTTTGCAGACGTGATACATGAACTGAAATGGCGGTGGTTGTGTGTGCGGCCGGCCGGCTGCCTCTCAGCTGGCACGGCTCTTCGGGATGGAGGACTGGGAGTTCTTCACGTGATACTAACGTGTGTTCTCCTGACTGCTGACCTTGGCCGGTTGTTAGTTGTCTTGACACAACCTTCTCTCAGGTGTCAGCTGCCCTTCCTTCTGGTCTCAAACGTTTGGGTCCATTGAGGCAGCCAAGGGCTTTCCGTTCTCAGCCAAGTCCAGACAGCTCGTCCCCATGCCTCCTCTCTAGCCGAGTGTGGCTTTCAGAGTACTCGGGCTCACTTTTCTTCCTGGCACCCCGGACCCGTTCCATGATGTGATGGAAAACTTCTCAAACCAGGATTGCCGAGTGAGAGCATCCCGCCGGCTGTGGCAGCTCCGGGCGGGCTGTCTGGGACCCAGAGCACGGCTCTGCCAGCGCGGGGGGCGGGGGTGGGACGTCCCCCCCCCAATCCGGTGTCACCCCTACAGCATTTACTGGAGGAAAATACACGCCTCCCTGCCTTGCCTCCGTGTGGCCTTATTCTGTGGAGCTAGTGGAGCCGTCCTGGTAGAAATCTCGTAGGAAGCGGAAGCTTTGCTTCCGATCTCTGCAAACGTCCATGTAATTCTGCAGTCCGCTGTCACTCCAGCCGCTAACTTTTACTTAGCTGCTCTCACAACAAAGAGAATTTTTATGTTATGTTTAATTTTTATGTTATGAAATGTCGATAACATTTCACTAAGTGTAAGGATGAGCACTTACGCTGGGTGGGGGTGAGCTTCTGTTGGGGTGCTGAAGTTTGGGGGCCGGAGGGATCATGCTGTCACTCTGGTCAAGATCACTTGTTTGTTGAAACCGAAGTGAGCGGTAGATGTCGCGGCAGAGAATCACTTTCTGGCTGGCTGAAGAGTTTCTCTTTGTGCTTTGTTTTCAGAACCCCAGGCCCCAGGAGAGCCGCGCGGTGTTCAGCGGCTCCGTCAGTATTCCCTCCATCACCAAATCCCGCCCTGAGCCCGGCCGCTCCATGAGCGCCAGCAGCGGCCTGTCAGCGAGTAAGTGCCGCCCCGGGGTCCCCCGCACCCCCTGCCCCGCTGTCGCCTCCCTCACGCGCGCGCGCTCCCGGGGGGGCAGGGGACTAGTGAGCACACGAGCGCCTGTGGAGAAAACCATCACGGGCTCCGTTCAAGCTCACGGTACCCCCTGGAGACGGACACTTCATACCACAAGCTGTGGTGATCGAGGCTCTGAAGGAAATAAACGGGCCACCGTCTCGGAGTAAGGAGGTGTAGCCGTTGGGGACGAAGTCACACTGAGGGGAATTTAGGAGGGTCACGGGCCCTCCTAGGGGTGAAGCCCTGTTGGAGTCGTGTTTGACGACTTGAGAGAAGGCCAGTGTGGCTACCTGGTGGAGGTCAGACAGTGACCCGCAGATAATGCACGAGCGGCGGGCAAGGAGCCGATCAAGCAGGGTCGTGCAGAGCAAGCTGAGAATTTTTATTTTATTAGAAACGCAACCGGAAGCCTCTAAAGATTTTGAATGAGGGAAGGACCTTTATCCAGTTTACATTTTGAAAAACATCCCTCTGACTGCCGGATGGAGACTGGACACAGGGCAAGAGTGGGGCGCGCATCCCGGTGGGGCTGTCGGAGTGGCCGGCGGGGGGGACAGGCCCGGGGGACTGCGGTGGAGGAGGAGAGAAGGGAGACACTCTGGGGTTAAAACAGTAAGGCCTGGCGGGGAGTTAGCTGTGGGAGGTGAGGGACAGGGAAGAGTTTCAGGTGACCCTTGGTTTCCTGTGGGAGCAGAGTGGGGCCAGGGTTCTGGAAGGTTCAAGATCATAGCCGGTGCACAGAAGGTGAGGATGTTTGTCCGGTGAACATCCAGTAGACGGCAAGTCTTCCACTGGGGCGCAAGGGGGACAGTCTCTGTGACCGAGCACCTGCGCTCACACGGCTCGCCGTCCCTGCTGTCCGCCTCTCTCCTTTCACCCTGAGCCTCAGCACCTCTTGCACTCTGCACAGAACCCTGGGCTCGGGGGCCGAGAGAGGAAACTCTGCCCCGTGCTGGGCTTCCTCTCTGCTGTAGCAGGGAGCGACTTCGGGGCAGCGGGGGGTCGCGGGGGGTTCACTGTTGGCCTGAGAGAAAGTGCCTGGCCACTAACAGCCGCCTGCTTCAGAATGAGAGGGGTGGAGAGGCAGCGTCTGACTGATTGCATCAATTAGAAGTTAGTCTTGTTGAATTCAGAGATCGTTGGTAGTTCTGGAGCATAAGCAGGGAGCTACGTCACACACTCATCGTGGCTTCCCCAGTCAGGGGAAGATCGCTTATAGCCAAGGGCTGCTTTTCTGACACTTTCTCAAAAGCAGCATGGTGTTGGCCAAGAGCTCGGAGGTTGTGAGTGGGGGACACCCCAGAAGTGCAGGTGCATCCATCATAACCATGTGCAGGGCTGAGGCAGCCACCTCTCCAGGAGGGCCACAGTGAGGGGCCTCTGTCCCTGCTCACTGTGCCCACCCACCAGGTCTGCACGAACCCCGCAGGCGTGGCCTCCTTGAGGTCCTTAGTAAGAGGAAGGCCCTCCCAGGAATCCCAAGGGGCATCTGCTGCGTCAGGTGCCTCCTGCTGGCTTTGAGAACAATCCAGCTCGTCAGAAGGTTCCAGAAGGTTCCAGAGGACAGCTAGCTGAGAGAGACACAAGAAGTAATAGGGAACCCTGTTGTCTGTCTCCAGAACCAGAAGCACAGATCTTCCAGAGCCAGACTTGGGATGGCTTCACAATGTGAAGTAAAAGCCACACGGGGATTCCCACCGTGGCTCTGTCCTGCTCCCCACAAGGAGGAGGACCCAGTCCTCCCATCGGCGGCAGGCTTGCTAGGGAGCCTGGCCTCTCCTGAGGTCATGCAGACTCAGACACCTCGCCACCTAAGCCAGCGCTCTTTAGAAGAGGCCGTGCCTGATTGTATGGCCTCAGTCAGCCAGGACCATGGTCCTCAGACCGGCCCCACGCCCCTTTTGCTGGTCAGTCAAAATAGCCCTGCTGTCACATGTTAACACCAGAGTGGAGGCAAGGAGATGGCAAACGGGGGCAGCCCTGCGCAGGCCCCGGTGTGCACCTGTGGGTCACACCATGTTCTCCGTGTACCCAGGGCTATTGTTCCCCCAGATTCCCGTACGGGAGAAGTTGTTCTGTGTCTGCAGATGGAACTGAGACTCAGAAAGGTAACAGAGCCTGCTCGAGGCCACGCAGTCAGTAAGCAGAGCAACGGAAGCCTCTGGCGGTGTGGATTTCTATTCAGAATGACAAAACTTACACAAAAATAAAATACCATTTCCGTGACACTGAAGCAGGTGCGGGACCAGTTGCGCCTTCAGGAAGGCCATGACTTAAGGACCCAGAAGAGTCCCCTCAGCAAAGTAAGGCGCGCCTCCGCGGCGGCCGTGAGGAGCAGCGAGTGTCTAGTGAGAGACCCTGCGCGGCAGGCGCTGGGGGCAGCTTCCCGGGGAGCAGGAGGGCGAGCCCCTGGCTCCCAGCCTGAGGTGCATTCCAGAATCCCCACAAGAGGCTTGAACAGGGACCTCTGAAGTTCTGCCACGATAGGGCCCAGGCACGGGCATCCCTAAGCTCCACGACACATGCCCGGTGTCCACACGGCGCTGGGAGCTGGGGTAGGAGTCATTACGGTGACACACGGGCCACCTGCAGCCGAGGGGGCCCCGGAGGGAAGCGGCCAGGAGTCCCCAAGCACAGGCGCGTCAGGCAGGTTCCTGTCCGCGTAGATGAGCACCCCCGCGTGTCCGTGATCGTGAGGTACTTGAGGTGCTCGACATGGTCCTCTTGACACTAGTACTGAATTCTTAGTGTAAAAACACAGTCTGGATCCTGTATGAAAACCTCAGCAGCCTCTTTCTTTTTTTTTTTTCTTTTTTTTTTCTTTTTTTTTCTTTTTTAAGATTTTATTTATTTATTTGACAGACAGAGATCACAAGCAGGCAGAGAGGCAGGCAGAGAGAGAGAGGAAGGGAAGCAGGCTCCCCGCTGAGCAGAGAGCCCGATGCGGGGCTCGATCCCAGGACCCTGAGATCATGACCTGAGCCGAAGGCAGTGGCTTAACCCACTGAGCCACCCAGGCGCCCCCTCAGCAGCCTCTTTAGACCCATGGTCTTAATATGGAAGCTCAGGAGGATTAAAATGTTTTTTAAGCAAAAGCTTAAGGAGGAATACTGAGAGCTTTATATAGGTACGAACAATTCCCCAGTATTTCCAAGGGGTTTTTGTCATCCTTTTCCCTCCTCCGAGAGGTTTGGGTGCCTCAGCTCTGAGACCAAACTAGAGTATGAATTTGAAGAAACTCACCTCACTTTTGTATTCCAGGCTTTTTTCCCTGTGGAATGAAAATGCTTCTCTCGTGTCCCTTTACTTTTCATGCAAATTCTCCAGCAGTGAAGTGATGGCTGCAGAGGCCAGTGGCCTTGAGAAACAGTGTCCCTCAGCAGCTGGCCCCAGGGTCTGCCCAGGTCTCCCCCGTCCACGCGCTTTCTACAGGGCCGTCCCCTTGTCTGTCCGTGTGCGAAGCCTCACCTGAGTGCCGTCCTGCAGGGTCCTCTGCGCAGAACGGCAGCGCGTTGAAGAGAGAATTCTCCGGAGGAAGCTACAATGCCAAGTGGCAGCCCATGCCCTCCCCGTCAGAGGGCTCGTTGTCTTCTGGAGGCATGGACCAGGGAAGTGACGCCCCGGCCAGGGACTTTGACGGAGAGGTGAGTGGGGTGTGGGCAGCATCAGCGTCTGACCCGGAGAAGTCCTGTGTAAAAGGACTCATGCCTTACCGCAGTGCTGCCACCACCTCGAGAGTGGCCTCCGCTGCAGCCGGGGGTCCGGACTCAGGGACACGCTTGGCAGGAGGCGGGTTTGGGGGGGGGGTTTCTGGCACGACTGGTCGCCTGGGCTGCGCACTACACCATGGCACAGATGTTCTAACAGCTTCTGTGACAGGGACCCCATTTCTAAAGTCCTACAGAAAGGGCTGAACATTGGCTCTGTTCTCTGCCCTTTATTGGCCTCAGGAAAGGGGCTTCGTTAGCGACAGCAGACCATTCACACCAGCTTACTTGCTCGGGGTGGCCGCAGGTCACCTGTGCGGGGCTGAGCCCCTCCCGTGCCTCTCCGTCTCACGAACGTCCTCTCGGGGCCCCACAGGACTCGGATTCCCCGAGGCACTCCACAGCTTCCAACAGCTCCAACCTGAGCAGCCCGCCCAGCCCAGTGTCGCCCCGGAAGACCAAGAGCCTCTCCTTGGAGAGCACCGACCGCGGGAGCTGGGACCCGTGAGTGGCTTCGGCGCTCAGAGCGGACGCCAGAGCAGCTTCTCCCTCTCGGCCCCTCCACTGCCCTGTCTCCACGTCCGTCCCCCGCCCCTGCCTGGAAGGCCCAGGGCCGGTGGCAGGAGCAGGGTGGGGGCTCGGGGACGCGGACGATCGCACCTGCAGCCCCAGCTCCCTGCACCGCCCCCCCCAACTTAACAGCAGCAACCATCAAGGCAGACTTCCACTGAACAGCTTCGATGAGTATCGATTCCATTTCATACACTCAGAGTCGCTTCCCATCATCGTGTCCCCCTCCCGAAGGTAGCTCGAGTAGACAGACCTCGCAGACGTGCGCGGGAAGAGCGTCAGGCAGGCTGGTTTCCACGGCAGAGTCTCTGCGCCCCGGGCAGCGTGCGGGTCCCCCCGCCGGCCCGCGCCCTCCTCCAGCGCCCACAGCCAATGTCGACCTGATCGTTGCCAGTAAATCCTTATTCACTAAAACAGTGCATATTTTACTACAATACAGAGTTTAAATAAGTACACAAATGTAGAGGTTAAATACTGAATGTATATAGTAAAAAGAAGCATCTTGTATTCAGCAAAAGATGGATTCCTATATAAGAGAGAGATCATTTAATTTAAAGAAATGTGTTGTTTCTCGTCTGTTTTCCAGCTAAGTAATTTAAAGGGTAGGAAGGCCTCAAGCTGACATTCTAGACCTCAGTAGATGGAGAGCGCGGAGAGTCAGAGTTCCCTCTCTGGTCACGGCCACGGTCCCCGGGGGGGCTTTAGGAAAACATTCCGAAACCCGGTCCAGCCGCTCTGGGCTGCGGCCCGAGCCCAGGCTCAAACCCTGGAAGCCTCTTCAGCGGTAGCGTCAACAGGCAAATTTACTTCCAGGTCTTTCGGTAGCGGTAGAATTTGAACCACACTCAGTTTTTACTGCATTTTGGGATCTCCTGCAGATGAATGTAGAAATGCGATCACCTCCTGGCCCTTCCGCTGAAAGCGCGCAGGGGAAGTCGTGGCTTCTGAAGGTCCCTGAAACGCTTCCTACGCGTCCTTTCCCCGGGGGCTAACCCTGTTTCTCCCTGCGTTGTTGCCACGAGGTGTCCTTGGCCCGGCCCCACTCAGAGAAGCCTGAGAGTTTAATTACCAAATAATAGAAAACCTCAAATGCAAGGACTTGAACAGCCTTAACCAAATACTCTTTCCCGCCCCCGGTGGCAAACAGAAGCGCGGGGCCGCCAGGCAGGGGCCCCCACGGCACCCCTGCTGTTCCCGCCGAAGCGAGCGCACACCCCGGAGGCCCGCAGCCCTTCACAGTTAGTTCCCAGTTAAGCACATGAGCAGAGAAAGAGAAATAAAAATATCTCATGGGAGTAAAGAGAATCTGGCTTGCTTCCTTTTTGTCTAAATTTCTCAGAACTAGCAGTGAGCGCGCTCTCAGCTTCGGTGAGCGTGAACCGTGTCCCCCTGTGGCGCCTGCTTCTCAGCCCCCGAGGCCCGGCGCGGGGAGAGAGGACCCGCGGGGCCGCCTGTGCACGCGGACGACTGCCCATCCTCTCTCCAGCTTTCCGCTTTAGGGACAGGCGTGTCGTGTGAGATGGGGTTGGGTCGCCAAGGATCAGACCTTGAACTTGGTTCCCCCCCCCAGGACCCCGTAGCCCTGCGAACTTGGCACTTAACTGAGGCGAGGGAAGCCCGCCACCAAGGGCCTGTGGCCAGCTGCCTCCTGACCTCCTGACCCTCCCTGGCCCCTCGCCAGGGAGTCACAGGACTCCGCGCTAAGCCATTCGTTGAAGCTTCGACAACTACGTGTGGGTTTGTGTTGCCTGTAGGTGCTTATTTTCCAGAGGATGCTTTTAGGATCCAAGCGTCCCCCTGCCTGAGGTGCAGAGAACACTGCAGTGAGTCACAGCAGAAAGGAGAGAGCCCCCAAAGGCGGTGATGACCCAGGGACCTGCCCCCTGGCACTTTCCGGTAGGTCCCTAGTAGGCACGAGTCGTCGTAGAGCAGCCCCGGATAGGACCCATCCTGATGGCAGGAGTTTGGAGGAGAAACAGTGCCACGGGGAGCAGCTCGGGGCGGGGGGGTGGGGGCTTTTCCTGCGATAATGACCCTTCTGGGCTTACCCCCTCTCAGGTACGAAGCAGTTACCAGCAGAAGCTTCTGAGAAGAATGGTCTGCAAAAGGCAGGGAGTGGGCGCAGGGAAACAGGAAAGCTGCTCATGGTTCAGAGGGGTCAGGAGCCAAGATCAGGGAGGAGGTACTGCTGCCCCGAGCCCTGCTCTCTCCTCCTGCGGGACCTTTTAAACTCGCACCGGGCGGCAGGCGCACGTTTCACCGTAGGAAGGACAGACCGGTGAGACGCTTCTCGGATAGTCCGCGTGTGTTGGTACTTGGTGCTATCTGTGTGCAGCCAATTTGTCTACCCTTGAATTCTAACGAAGTCGTGTGTGCTCTGGGTATATAAAAATTATATATATACATACATTTCTTTTTGCCAAAAACAAAAGCCTTCCTCCTCGTCAAGTGCTCGCTAAAGTAAATTTCCCTCTCGGGGCTCTCGGGCCATGCACACACCCCTGCGGCAGCGACGCGCGCCCGGTCCCCGGAGCACGGTGGGAAGGGTCGGGCCGGAGCTGGAAGGGCCCGCCTGTCCGGTTTCCCACGCGGTTCTCATACCCAGGCTTCTGGGAAGAATCCGAAGTCCCTGTTAGGTTTACAGCAACAATCTGTCGTTCCTGGCTGGCTCTCGGCCTCCCTCTGCCTTCCGTATGGGCAGAGTCCTGTCATTTTGCTACTCAGTGGCCATGTCGACTTCTGTGAAAGTCCGGCTGCACTTCTGTGCACTCTCGGGGCCCCTCCAGAAGAGCCCGGGAGGGCGCGGCGGGCATCGCCGACGCCCGGCACGGCAGGGCCATCTGTCTGTCCGTGGCGGCAGTCACTCACGCTGCGGCCTCCCGGCTGGGCAGACAGGGAAGCAGTCGGGCCCCCGCGCCCCGGCCCGGCCCCCGGGTGAGTAGGTAAGCTGCGTGACCCGCTGCGCCCGGTAGACCTCTTCCCTTGTTCCGACTTGATCACGAGTCCAGATTCTCCGCAGAGTCCTTCTGGATCAGAGGGCCGGCTTCCGTTGGAGCCTTCGGCCCCTTAGCGCTGGCCAGCGGGCCGGCCCTTCCCCCTTTCCCAGGAACGAGTGCCACACACGAGGAGCCACGTCACTTATGGGGGTGACTGACGAGAACAAACCTGGAAACTTCATGAAACAAATTTACCTGCTTTTTTATTTGATAGTGTAGTATCATTTATTTTATAAATTTTTTAGGGTTTTTCCCTCATTGTAATATTATTGTACAGTTTTGCATGGCCTAGGTGTAATCATTTTTTTTTTGTTTAGAATATAATGCTGACGAATCTGTGTATGGAAGGGAAACATACTGCTCTGGCCCATTTCCTTTTGTTCGGTTTTATGCCCTCGATGTCTTAGGGAGGTTTATAAGCGATTCTCTGCTACCAGACAATGGTGTGGATTCTTTTGCACAGAAATATTTAAGGTGGGATGGTCAAATGGTCAAAAATGTAACAAGACTCCTCGCCAATATTTTATGTTGGTATCACTTAATATTAACCAGAATTTGATGTATTGCAATAAAACAGGGAGCTGTTAGACCTGACGGTCTGGTCTTGTCTTTCCCTGATGGAAAGGTCTGAGCCGTGGAGGAAAGGTGACTGACTCTTCTCGTCTTCCTAGATCCTGCTTCCTGCCAGGCCCCTCCTCACCCAGGGCCCGCCTTAGCCTGCGGAAGGACGCGGGAGTAGTTTCCCCGGGGACTTTCCTAGTTCCACCCCGTAGCTCAGGTAAGGGCGGCATTCCGTTCTCGTCCGGCCAGCATTTCCAGAACGCGCATCAGGCCGTGAGTGAGGCCTGGCCTGCTCCGTGTGCGCCAGCCCCGCGGGGGACCCTCTGCACAGCCAGACACCCCCCACCCCCCACCCGCCAGTTGTCGCATGTGCCTGCTCAGACCAGGTGGCAGGCTGGTTTGCTGTCTGCTGTTTGCGGGTACGTTAGTGTCTCTACTCTTGTCCCTGACTTGGTCAGAACGGCCCGTCTGGGGAAGCCGGCCAGCCCGCACCAGAGGCAACGTGAAGCCGGCTGCGCCTGGTTACCCTGAGGGCCCCTCCCTGGTTCCGAATCACACGCGATGACCTTCCTGACCTTTCTTGGCGGGTCACTGCTCTGTCAGAGCGCCCTGCGGGAGAGACAGTAGCGCGGCAGGTGAGCGTGAGCTTAGCCAGCTTTCCGTTAAAGGCCAGTGAAAGCTTCCGCTTTGCGGGCTTTGTGGCCACTCTCGTGGCCCCACGTGGCCTTAGCATGGGAACAAACGAGCGCAGCTGTGTCCCCAGATGATGACTTGTACACGTAGGCAGAGGGCCCGACCGTGGACCAGTTTGCTGACTCTTGGGGAGCAGAGAGGGAGCTCGGGCCGTGTGGCTGCCCTCCTCGTTCCAGGTCGAGTCCAGGATCCCGACCTTCAGCAGCCACATTGCTCCTGTACCCTGCCAGCCCCCGAATGTCCCAGAAGGCAGAATATATATAAAAAATGAACAAAAACGGCCTTCCAAAGGGCCGTGACTGCTCTGACAAGGGTTCAGAACAGGTGGCATCAGGCGCCAGGCCCCCAGCTGCTGTCACCGAGACCAGTCAGACCTCCCATCCTGTCCTGGAGCGGCCTCCCCGCGTCCTTCACCCCCTGGTGCACCTGTCGGGGTCCCGCGGCAGGGCTCCCCGATGCCCACGCTAGTTTGCTGCGGGGAGGCATCCCCCAGCCGCAGCCTCTCGCCCTGGGAAGCAAGCCAGGCAGTTGGCTCTTCCGTACATGGGGTGGGGTGCAGGGGGCATGCGCCGCCACCCCCTCCCGGAAAGGAATTTGGGCTGAGTGTCCAGATGCATCTGGAGGTGGCCTGGAGTGTGACATGACCTCGGGCTGGTCACCCATCAGCTCGGCGCCCACTAAGTGTACAGAAATTCACACCACAATGCTAAGAGGGTGCGTTTTTGTCTTTTTTTTAATATTGAAACAAATCAGACAATTACAAGAATTGTACAAAAATTAACAGCCTGTGGTGACCCCTCGGGTCTAACCAGGTGACCCCTGGGCCTGGAGGGGGAAAGCGGGGCCTCCACACACTGACGTCTAGCACGGACTGCTCCTGACCCCTTCCACAGGTCCAGAAACTTCCACTTGTCCAGAGGGCACAGCCCAGCCCAAGAGCAGGCGGGGCCTCACGCAGGGAAGCAGTGCGCGGCGGCACCGCTCGGAGACAGGCTGGAGCAGAGAGCACAGAACACAATCTCCTAGAATCACACAAGCCTCATCCTCTACGTACGTCCAGTAAAATCCAACAATCTCCGTATTTCTGGGGGCAGGGATCCCCCGGCAGGCCCGCCCCTCCCCCCGCTAGCGTTCACAGGACGGAAACCGCCCGCCGACAAGGGAGGAACCTGCCGTCGGGTCTCTGCTTCGCGCAGAGGCTGCGCACACGGGGCAGCCTGCCCGGGGAGCCGGGGCGCGGGGCTCAAGCGGAGGGCCGCGCCGCCTGCCGCTGGTAGTTGCTGTAGGCCTCCTCGAACATGGCCTTGCAGGGGAAGCGGGCCTTCAGCTTGGAGCAGATGAGGAAGGAGCCCCCCATCTTCCTGTGCAGGGAGTAGGTCTCCTCGGGGGGCGGGACGAGCCGGTGCTTCAGCATGATGGGGATCAGGTTGTGGATCTTCTCGGTGGTGCTCTGCGTGCCGAAGTCGAAGGGCTCCTCCGAGGCGAAGGCCTCCCCCAGGATGAGGATGGCGTCCAGGTGGGCGTCCTCCATGGCCTGAAGCGGGGTGCAGGGGGTGGGTGGGCCCGTGGCCGGCCCAGAGCTCTCCCAGCAGGCGGCGTTGAAGGGGCGAGGCTCGGGGGCATCTCAGTATTAAACTGACGTGACAGGCCCCGTGGCTGGGCCAGGGGAGCCCGCTGTGCGCTTGGGGGGCGGGGGGCGGATGGGCGGGGCCCGGGCCCAACCTGGGGGCCGAAGCCGGACCGCCTGGAGGCCTGGCTGTGGCCCGTGCACCCCTCTTGGGGGGAGAAGGGGAAAGGGCTGCTCTCGGGGAATTCCGGTGCCAGTTCAGGGCACGGGAACACAGACTGGCACCACCCATTTAAAGCGCTGAAGACCCGGCTCCAGCCCCTGCCGGGCCACCCTGACCTCGGAAGGGGGGCCGGGCTATGCCATCCGCCCACGCTCACCCGGCCCCAGCTCCAGATGTACTGGCCTGCGAGAGGGGTGCCGGCCTCCTGACCCTCCCCGAGGCTCCACTCACACCCTCACCCCGCCACGCCCAGGACCTCGATGGAGGAGGGGTCAAGGGAGGCCTGAG